TACATTCTTTCCAACGAAATCAAGTAGCCATCAACTGTTACAATTAAAATTCCACGCAATAATTACGTTTCCAAAAGTTTTTACGCATTCGCGTAACCCGTCGAGCGAGAAATTTATTGATCAGGAAACAGCTTCTCCGCGGTTCCCTCGAGGAGGCGCAGGTTGTCGAACCGAGCGTTCCGAGAGAGCGCGGGCCGGCGCATACCGCTGCTACGCTTCGGCACGCGTGCGCACGCAAGTACCGTCACATCTCAGAGGGCGAGTGGCAGATAATAGGAGCGGTACGCACGCCTCGTGGCCCGCTGCCAGGGAAATACGCTGCGCTCCCGACTTCCGTCTTTCGCCGCGAGCCGCTGACGCCGATTTGCCCCGACCAGCAAGAAACGAGTAACACGTGCGACTGTGTACGTTGCAGATCACCCGGGAATTTGAGCTTCGTTGATTGACTGATAGTGATTTCGGACCCGTCAACTGATAAGGTCATTAGTGGCGTAAGTGTGGTGCATGTTTTTTTTCTTCGGGAGGTGGCGGTGGCCTGTTGGATGTTGAGTTTCGGCACCGTGCATGGTTTGTTATCGCGGGAGATGGATGTGATCTTCCCCCATTGTTTGGCGAGATCCGGGCCCGACCTACGTCGACTAGCGGGAATTTTCCCAACCAAGTATCTCCAGCGCGGATCTCTAATCTCCCGACCAATCTAACCGCCACAGCCAGGATCTCTAATCTCCCGACCGGTCTCCCAGCGTGTAATGCGTGTAAGGGGTGAGGATAGGAGAAGGAAGAGGAAGGAAATATCGTACGCGGTCCTTCGCCCGTTTGTTAGGGTACTGCTCCGGCATTCAATCAGGTGTTGATCGGAGACACCACGGAAAACTACCGATCAGAGTAGACGGTTACTATAATTCTCCTCCAGACAGCAACTGAACTCGACCCAGCTATCTAGCTAGTGACGAAAATCCTGCCACTGGAACTCGAACCTACAACCTCCCGGTCAGAGGCACTGCAGGGAAATCAGTTGATGCCCTGCGCCATCTCTCTCGGTTTGAGCTTCGTTGACGCGAAGGTCTTTGGAACGATACCAGACGGTCCGATTAAGATCGACCTATTGTTGAAAGTTGCAATATTTGTCATTATGATATAGCAAAGAGTACTTTATATGAACTACCAAGTCGTGATTATTTAGAGGAAAATCGATAATTCGGAATAAATTTATAGCCCAACGTCTGAAAAACTCGGTATTCAGAAGAGAGATAATAAAATTTAATTTTTCAAATAAAAGCAAAAATACGAATTCCTATAACAAATCTGATATCACTTGCAAATGAATTTGAGAATCAATGGAAGGAATAAAAGTTGTTGAACTAACATACAATTCAAACAGAAACTGCCACAGCAGAAAAATATGCATTTTCAAACCTACCGTAAATAAAATGAAAGCAGATAATCTAGATGCTATCATTCTCCCAGCGTCGCTTAAACTAGATCTTCAGTTAAAGAGATGCAATATAATTGATGATCACGCCATATTCAACGGGCGATCTACCAACCACCTTCAATTGATGGTACATGACCTCATGATGAAATATCCAATATTCAATAACATTTTCGTTGTGAAAAACGCATATGGTGATAATTTTGAGGCGTTTGCACTCTCAAGAGAAAGTAATTATTATTAAAAATTATGAAAGATTGAAAATTAATGTTATTTTCATTTCTTATAAAATATTAGGCATAAAAGCGAAATGGAGGATTGAACTGTTTTAAAGATATTTCACTATGAAAAATTGACTAGTGAATGTGAACTAATGCTCACGCGGGTGACTTAATTTGAAGAATTAGCAAGAAATTATAACGTTATTTTAATATGGCATAATTATGGTAAATTACAATATTTTATCATAAATATCCAATCAACAATGTTTTTTCACAGTCTGAAATATTGAAGGAAACTAAATCGCTTCTTCTTTGCTTCGAAAACCTAGAAAATGTAAATGAAAAAAATCTAAAAAACAAATCCTGACGCCTATTGTATACGTAGCTACGCAAGAAATTACAGCTACGCGAAAAAAATGTGTACGCATGCTTCGAACGGTAGATGAAGCATGTTTCCCATTAAAATACCGGTTTCTCTGCGCCGAAGACGTTCCTCTTGGTTCGTGTCGCCGACGGCTACGAGATAATCGGCCACAATAATCGCCAGCCTGATGATTATTTAAGCCCCTACAAGTAGCGATTACCATAAACTCTTAATTTCATCGTAGGTGCCTGTTTTCTTCCTTGGACGCTCCGGGCCTCGGGGTCGTCGGTCAACGTTTCGCAACCCGCCACTCTCCTTCCCCCCTTCGGAAGACCCTTCGGTCTGCCGAACGCCACGCGCGATGGCGCTTTCTCATGCATCCGAAGCAACATATCTCTCTCTACAAGACGAGCGCGAACAACACAAAAATTACCCCGGAAATTATTTTTAGTAGCAATAGGGCAAACAGGAATATTTTAGATGGGAGACGGGTGTATAAGGGTAGAGTCTAACCGACTTGATGTTTTCTTATAACGAATTTTTCACTTATGCAAAATTAAAATTTTATTTTATTTAATTCATAATATTAAAATCATATGTTTATGGCTAATAATATGCTGCTACAGTACATTTTACCAACTATAAAATGTTTTAGGTAGACTCCTGGATGCCTCAAACTGTGGTGCACACGCATCCGGCGGCGGCTACTACGTGTGCTGACATAACCTAACATTTTCATTTGGAGGTTTATTACAAATTGGTACAAAATTACGTATTCGATTGAGATAACGAATGATCTTCATTACTCTTTAAAATTAGTGAAAGCTATTTAAAATTTTCTAAATTATATTTGTGAATACGTGTCATCTGTTCGAGAGGGGTGGGGGTCAGGTTCCATGGCCCTCAACCCTTTCGGTGCGCCAGTGATAGTATTGAAATTACTTGAATTAATGATTAAGACTGCCTTTCTTGGTATGTTTTTTTAATTTTTTTAAGGTCCATTGATTTGAGGCAGACATTCACTGCATAACAATCTTTATGAAACAATTGCAAATACCTATTACACTTTTTGTAAATCAACGTTTCGAAGGCCATTGAACTTCATCATCAGGATCTGTTTTAAATTTGTTTTTTGTTTAGGAGAATATTCATTAGTTCACAAAATATTCTAAAGACAATGAATGTTATACTATAACATTTTACAGGAATATCATTATAAAGTTCCTAAATAAAGTATATGAATTGGTTAAACGCGATCCTCGAGAGGGGTTGCATCAGGTAATTATACACATTTAGATTTACCTGTACATGAATTCATTTAGTATTTCTTAAAAAAAATCAAAAACATGCCAGTGATAGTAGTCTGTGAAGTTTACATAATTCTGGCCCTTCTTTGTCTTTGTGGATGGTTTGTCCTTTGGGTCTTTTTATGATAAACTCGTTAAGATTAGCGACCAGCAGACAAGCATTAAGACAAGTTCAGTCCAGTTTCTAATCCTGCAGTAACAATGGGAGAGCAATCTTTCTACCACTACAAATAATGGCTCTCAGTAAAAATCAAATTCACACTTGTAACTTAATGCTTATCTTTTGGTTTTGAAGATACAAGTTATCTAAAATTAGCATATTTAGCATATTTTTCGCGAGAAACAATTATGTGTTATTGATTTATTAGTAGGTTCCATTTTCAGGACTTTCTCATTCCACAGGTTCCAACAAATCACGTAATAACATGTATTTAAATGGGCGGGAGAAACAATGAAGATATGGGAGGAGTGTTTCTTAAGCAGTAAGTTACAATACGATACGTCTTAAATAATCTTGATCATTATATCTTCTACATACGAAAACGTTGGCTCAAGGGCCATTGCTACTCGTAGTTGATTGAAGATAAGAAAATCGTTATATTTACACGACCGGACAGGACATGGAAATATTTTGAAGAAGGAATTTAGTTTATTGAAAGAATCATATTTAAAATGAAAAAATAGTAAGTAATTATTATTTTTTGTTAATATATTATTTATGAACTAATAGTTATTTACGAAACTAAAACACTCAGGAAAAAACAATATTGCCTAATTTACATAGAACATTTTCTTTAAAATGTCTTTCATTTCTCTTTAATAAATAACGATAAAATCAATGAAAATACGAAAACTATTTCGCCAAAGTAACAAAAAAGTCAAGAACAGTTCTAAAAGTAGATAGTTATATAATATAAATTATTATCTAACTATAAAGATGAAGAGCGCGAATTTTATATCGAGATGCCATGTTTAAAAAGTAATCACTACTTCGTGGCATCTTAGATCAATTATAATGCGTTATAAATACGGATGTGAAAAGTATATGTGACGAATGAGAGTTCCATTGTTCGTAGAAATTACTCGTAACACACATGGTTTAGAATTAGGAATGTTCGAGGTGTTGAAATCCTTTTCACCGATCTTTCCTTTAATAGGAAATAAGGTAAGGAATTTCAAACTAGTATGTACTAGTGTGATCTTTGTTACACTGTTAGTCTGAAAAAAACGGAGTGGAAAACAAGTTTGGAGAATAAGGCGCTTGTAAAAGAGCACAAGGCTTCTTCAAAGACAAGTAGAGACACGGAGTCATGCGACTGGGTTTGCATTTATTATCTCACACGAAATTTTAACTTTTTGTGGTTGTTATGCACTGCCCCTTTAGAATTGAGTTTCAAGCAACTGTGGTCACTAGAACTTTTTAAAAGGGGGAATTATGTTCCTGATTAATGCACACCGAGTGGTCCAGGAAAGAATCCGCAACGTCCATCTACGATTTCCTATTCTAAGATTTATTTTTCGTGGAAATTAATTCAGATAAGAGTTCACGTGAAGATTCTGGCTAAAAAATTGCAGATTTCAGTCAGATCCCACAGCCATTGTGCAGTCAACATTTCCATTGCTCTCATGAGTCCTATTGTTTTTCATTACACCACGATTATCTTAAAGTGTTTCTGTCAGCACTATCGTCATAAAAATTACCGTCACCATTATCACACCCACCACGATCAGCATCACCATCGACACTATTTCCATCTCCACCAACTCCCCCATCTTCACCGGTGCTATAGCAGTCACCTGCATTTGTCCCATCACCATGACATTCCACTCCGCCACTATTCTCATCACCTACCTCTATCATCCTCCAAACCTCTATCATCGTTTTAGACTAACTGCCCTTCCCTGTTCACCTTCTTCACTGCAGCTCCCACTCCCACCACCATCGCAGCCGCATCTCTGCTACTCGTGCGTTCCGGGCGAGCGGTCGCACACAAGTGGCGCTTATGTGGCCGGCTGGCGGTGGTTTCCTCAACACGCGGAGGCGCCGATTGCAGATGGACTGCGGGCGACTGGCGTTTAGCTCTGGAGCAATTTCGAACGGGTCTCTCTCGACCTCGCGGTGTGAAATAGGGTTCGGGGCACAAAGTCCATCGAAGGACATTTTTAAATACAAGTACATGGAGGGTATGGATGTAGTCATTTGGTTTACGTGCACAATGTGCATTAATTTTACGTGCATTAATTTTATTTTGGTGGTGCCTTGTATCTCAGGTAACCACGTAGGCAACCGTTTGGCTTCAAATACCCCCTGCTGGTTCGCTAATTCCTCCAGGACCACTTACCAGGAGAGAATGAGTTCCCATGGTAGCATATGTTGGTCTTTTAACTATACTTGCATCCCCATAGAGTTTAAAACCTGTGTAGGATGATTCCTCCCCCAGCTCGAGTCTACTAGTTCTGAGGTTAGTTAAAAGGGAGAAGTACTCCTCACGGGGCTCTGGACAAATTCCTCCGCAATGTCCCCAAGTCCAGGAAGTGCAACGACTAAACAGGAACCTGATTGCCCGCCTTTGGTACTAACGACGTGGGTACCAACGAGAAACGCAGCAAAGCGGGTGGACTCATCCAAACCTCCAGTAGGGTCGGGCCGAGGTTCTAAGCTCTCCTCCTTACTTTAGAGGCAAACTCCCGTCCTGCGCCAGCAGGCACGACCTCGCTGCTGGCCTCCTCGCGAGGCTATTCATCGACATCATCCGTAGGCCACCTGCTCCGCGCCGCTTCCAATTCTGTGGGCGGCCGGCCGGATCGGGCGTATGGCTGGGCAGGGGCGAGGGCATGCCGAAGGCGATGATGACCGAAGAGGTGGCTCAGCGCATCAACTGCTGTCACTGCAGTGCCCACTGGCGGTTCCACGGGAGATGGCATGAGGGCCATGCCCCACCCCCAAAGAGTTTTCGTTTTCTTTCATTTTAAGGCTCCCACAGACCGGCGCGGCAAATCCGCAGTGGCGCGGTGCGGAAAGTTCAGTGCTAAACTCGGCGACGAAATTCGCGTGTCCGTTCACACCGGAGCGTCAATTATGAGTCAGCGTTTGGAGACAGTTATATTGCAGAAATTTACCTGTATCCCCAGTTTTCACGCCGTAAACGTGGACATTAAACGACAAAGACATAAACCGTGTAATATTGTTTGAGAGGCGGATAATACGTAAAAAAAGTGCCAATACAAGTTATCGCTGATATTTGGAGGATATGAACTAACCATGAAATAGAGAACTTAATAAAAGGGAAGGCTATCATCAGATTTATTAAAGCTCAAAGAACTAAATAGCTGGGTCGTAGTCAAAGAATGTAGGTAAACAGACTCCCAAGGAAGGTAATGGAACAGGTGACAACAGGTTCAAAAATGAGAGGAAGACCAAGATCTCGGTGGATGGATGACATGTATCAAGATTTAAGGCGGTTGGGCGAAAAAGAGAGGAGGGTGACTGTAGAGGGTAGGAAAAGATGGAATGACTTAATTGAAAAAGCCAAGACCGACAAAGGGTTGCAGAGCTAATAGAAGAAGTTTGGTGACACTTTTCTTCATCCGATAAACAATAGGCGCACCCTTCTATTCATGCACGCGATAAAAATTCCAATACTCTTAGTACGTTTTCTAAACACATGCGGTACGGTGCTTTTACCTTTATCTGCGATTTTCCATTAAACTGTTAATGTCTCCTTAGGAGGCGAAGAAAAGGGATCCCTAACTTTAACCCAGAAAAAAAAGTACGGAGAATTTCATACTTTGATTCCATAAAGGACGAGAAACGCTTTTATATTTATTAGAATGACCAGTGACTTTTTTATTGAAATTTTGAAATTGATCCCAGAAGACAAAAGAAAATCTGACAGTTTACAATCATGAAGTAATCTCAGCTGATGTGTTATTGCATTCGTGTGTGTGTATACAAATTCAATAATATTACAAAACGTTTAAAACGTTTTATTACTAAAATGTTCAAAATTTAAAGAACAAACAAATTTTAAAAACGAAGTTAAATATTATTTAAAATAATTAAATTACTGAACAACATTTTTTCTGACCGTTCAGTCGCGTCAAATTCACTGGTGAGCTGAAAATATTCGACACCTGACGAGTCTTTACGTTGGTTTTCACAGCGAAACGCAAACGGCAGCGGAAAAAACGCGTTCGACAGTCAAACAAAATCCGGCGCGGATTAAACGCTGCCTATGCGCTGCCGCGACACTCGCCTGCCGCGCAGGTCTGAACGTGCTAATTAGTCAAAACCTGACGCAAAACGTCCGCTGCGGACATTCCGCATAGGCTGCGGATATTTCGCGCCAGTCTTTGATAGCCTTAATTTTGCAAAACTGATATAAATATTTATTTGCGTTTGAATTATGTAAATTATTTAAACAATATAGTATAGTACATATACTGTGCAGAAATATCACAATATAACAAAACTATGTTTATTATTTAACAAAAATCTACAATGCCTCGCCCCCAAAATGATCGGCTGGATCCGCTCCTGGCAGTGCTAGAGATCGTAGGTTCGAATCAGTGGCAGGATTTTCGTTACTGGTTACATAGCTAGGTCGAATTCAGCATCTGGGTCGGGTTCAGTCGCTCTCTGGAAGAGAATTCTAAAGACTGACTGCTCTGATCAGTAGTTTTAAGTGATTTTTTTCTATCAAGAGGCGAATGCCGGAGCAATGCCCCAACAAACGGGCCATGAACCGCGCGCGATCTTTCTTTCCTCTTCCTTGTTCTATCCTCATCCCTTACGTATACACACACACACACACACATGCACTACACTAACACAAATGCCAGGAGCTAAGAATTTATTCCTCGTTCGTGGGAGATACCTAGGTATGGGAAACCCCGCTAGCCAATGGTAGGTCAGCGCCGAATCTCACCATCCAACGGGGGAAGATCATCGCCGCTTCTAGAAGAAAACGCATGCACTATTATAACGGGACAAATGTACTTAGCAGTTAACGGGTCCAAAATCACTAATCAATGAAAACAAATCAAAAATCGAAGCCGAGGGTGGTGATGACGTTGGTGATGGGATGGTGATGGTGAAGGTTGTGAACGTGGATGTAGTGGTGGTGGTTCATCTGATGGCGGAAATGATATGGTTGTAATGATGCTGAATGGAACTATGGATATTATGAGGGTAGCAATGAAGTTATTGATAATGGAGAATTGCGATGGGTTGTATCATTTTTCGATACGTCTGCTTTTCCAATGTGTTGCATAATTACAAACAATGAGCCATGAACTATAACCATTAAGGCTGTAGGTTCAAATCTCTCTTAAAACATGGATGATTTCAGTCATGTTTATGGCATGGCGTACATTATCCATCCTTCATGTAACATTTCTATATTTCAATCCCTCCAAAATCCCAAGCCCTGGCCAGAAAATTTGAAGCCATTTTTGTGAATGAGCGATTAAGAAACTAGCTCGTTATACCTCAAATAATAGTTCAAGCACTGACATGAGCTTACGTGCTCTTCGGGCGTATGTGCAAAGGTGCAGGAACGAGATAGAGCTAAGAGCAATATCAGGGTGATATTCGACGTCCAAAGAGAGATCTTCACTTGGAATCCTCCAGGGGAGCGGAAGTTACCATGAAAGGCGTTTGTGTGTACCTCAGACGCTATTGAGTGGCAGTCGGGAAGGGCTAAGGGCAAAACCGAATGGTAGCAACGAATGAAAAAGATTTACTTTAACTTCTCCAGCATTAATCTAAATGAATAAGTGTTCAGATGGAATTCGAGGTGGTATGAGATGGCAACCACTCGGAGAAAACACTCTTTGAATGGCACTTGAACCGCAGTCTCAGGCTCCGTGTGCTTGCACGCTGTACTAAGCTCCTTCGCCACCGAGGTGAGCCGGATGATTTCAAGGAAGGGGGCAGCTTCTGTTGTGGGGCATCTGGAAAACGTGGTGTCAACCACTCGGTGAAAACACACTCTAAATGGCACTTAGAATGCAGTCTCAGGCTTCGTGTGATTGCTCGCTCTTCCACGCCCGTGGGACCCCTTCCTTTGTGCTGCTCACGAGGCAGGGCGATAAGCGGTGACCGATCGCGGACATCGGGATTGATTGTTTGATTGATAGTTCCGGGCTCGACAACTGCTAAGGTCATTAGTCCCGTAAATATTTTCATTGCGGGAGGTGGCGGTGATCTTCCCCGGCTGGCTGGCCGGGTCCGGCGCCGATCTATGTCGGCTTGCAGGGATTTTCCCAACCACGTATCTCCCACCAGCGCGGCATCGCCCCAGCCGGAACAAGCTCTAAGCTCCCGACTGGTCTCTCGTGCTAGTGTAGTGTAAGGGTGGGGAAAGGTCAAGAAAGAGGAAGGAAAGATCGCGCGCTGTCGTGGGCCGTTTGTTAGGATATGACTTCGGCATTCGCTTGGTGCTGATCGGATATTCCACGGAAAACTACTAATCAACGTAACCGGCCACTAGAATTCTCTCTCCAGAAAGCGGCTGAATTCGACCTGGTTTTCTACCAAGTGCCAAAAATCCTTCAACAATCGAGACTCCAACCCAAGGACCTCCCGGTCAAAGGCACTGCAGTGACAGTTCTGTGCTAAGAAGGCAAAATGTTTTAAGCCACTTATTAAAAATTATCCATGCTGGCAATTTTATAATCAAAATGTCATGAAAAATTACTCTGTGGCTTTTGTCTTATTGAAATTTGCCACCATTGTTACAAAAGAAATGCATTTTTTCCTATTTATAAACATTCAAAAAAAAGAGAGTGACTTATGAAATTTTGTGTCTCGTGTCATGAAAAAGTGACTTTTATTATTTGGCCATCTTAGCACAGAGTTGATGCCCTGAGCCACCCAAGACGGCAAGGCCGGGGCCGGGGGCCATCGCGCCAAATGGGGCACGCGCCATGCACAAGGAGGGGATGGAATTCAGTTGGTAAATGAAGGCGGGATCTATGCCTGTGTGAAAGATGCCACCACAACGACAAACCAAACGACATACGACCGTTAGAGATGATGTCACTGCGTCAAGCGTACATAAACCAGCGGATAAGTCTGTTGTAGGCACAAAATAAACATTTGAACATTAAATCTATTCTTGGGAGGGAAATATTAGAGAAAAGGCGAA